AAAGAGATGTTTCCACTAGTAGGAGAAACTAAGACCCAGTGCCACAGCCTCAGACTGAAGGGACAACACATTACAACTAAGATGAGAAGGAACCTCTTCAGCTAGGGGGTGGTTAATCTCCGGAACTCACTGCCGCAGAGGGCTTGGAAACCAAATCATTGAGCGTACTTAATACAAAGGTAGATAGATTCTTAATTAGCAAGGGGTACAAGGGTTACAGGGAGAAAGCAGGAGAGTGAGTAAATAAACCTATCAGCCATGATCAAATGGTGGATCAGACTTGATAGGCGGAATGACCTAGTTTTGCTCCTATATCTTATGAAACAAAGCTAGACAATACTTATCAACACACAAATAAATGCAATAAGTTAAACAAAAAGTTATGAAATATGATCTTACCATGCCCAATGGTTTCATGGCAGAAAAACAAAGCAGCCGACTTGATTGGCACCACTGATACTCAGTGCACACTGCTGTTACTATCTACAAGATGCACAGCAGAAATTCACCAAATTTCCTTAGATAGCACATTCCAAACCCATGACCACTTCCATCTAGAAGAACAAGGGCAGCAGATACATGGGAATACCACCAACTGCAAGCTCTCCTCCAGGTCACTCATCATCCTGACTTGAAAATATATCACCATTCCTTTGCTATGGCTGGGTCAAAATTCCGGAATTCTCGCCCTAAGAACATTGTGGGTTCACTTACAGCACATGGAAGATGGCAGCACACCACCACCTTCTAAAAGGCAGCTAAAGACGGGCAATAAATACCGGCCAGCTAATGTCGCCCACATCCCACAAGTAATTAAGTAAAAAGAGAATCAAAGCTGTAGAGAGATATGATCACTAGGACAGGATTTTAAATGAGGTATTGAGGGACTGAGTGTAAATCAATGACCATGAAGCAAATTATGTACGCTAGGTCAGAACCAGCAATTTAATGCCAGATAAATTTGAGTGGGTGTATTCTGAAATTGGTTAGTTCAGTTGGTCAGATGGCCAGTTTGCAATAGAAGTGATGCCTATAGCACAGGGTCAATTTGCATTCTGGCTGAGATGACCATGAATGCCCATCTTCTCAACTTACACATCGTTTGAAGTCTTATCCTCAGGTTAAACTTACCAGACACCTCTTTCTTATGACAGAATAGCCTATGGTCCTTTGGGATTATTGGGACCTTTACTTATCAGTATAGTGTTAATAGAGAAGTAACATTTATAGGGCAAAAATGATTAAAGCAGGTCTGTTTAGATGGCGCAGAAAAAGGTAGTGTTCCGAAGGTAGAAGTAGGTAGTCATGGACATGGAAGGATCAGAATGTTAGCTTCACATCAAATAGAATGCTGTGATCTGAAACAAATCAGCTACAAACTTGACAAAGTGACAGGGTGCAGAATAGATGGCAAGAATGTGTAGTGGAGGTCAAAGATAACAGTTTTGTTCTCAATGTTTAACTGAAAGAAACTGCAGCTTATCCAAGGCTAAATATCAGACAAGTATAACAGTACCGAGGTAGAGAGGTTGCTAATGTCTCACTTCTGAAAACTAATTGGCCTCAAAAATTACAACTTTATCTTACACAATATGTTCCAGTGTAATTCATTTTCCAAGCTCTCAGAGCCATGAACTATTAAACCAGACAACCACAGCTTGGTAAAACTTTGTAAAGAATATTTTATAAAGGGAGTGAATTATAGTATCTAGAACAGGGGCTTGTAAACTGAAAGCAGTCACAGAGGTATGATTAAATTTGGAAACGCTCAAAAAGCAAGAATTGACAGAGTGAAGACTCCAGACAAAGGGGCAAAGATTAGAAAGGAGGAGCAGCCAGGGTGTGAAGGAGCTGGAAACATGGATGAGCCACTTATATAAAAAAAAGGGGCGCTACTTAAGCGTGTTCAATGTAATTTAGCAAGCTCAGGACAGAAGACACTTGTTGCAAGTTAGGATACGGGCAGAGATTTGAAAGGTGTCAAGTTTGCAGAGGATAGACTAAGGCTGAGTCAGCGGATGGTGGAATTTGAAATAGACAGTCTTAATGATTGTTCAAGATGTCGTAGAAATCTCATCACAGGACAAATATAACACTACAGTTGAAAATAGTCAGCCTCAGTCAGTTACCAGGGAGAGTGAAGGAAAATAGTCGAAAATAAATAAAACTAGTAACAGTTTGCCTTTCAGCATTTAGTTGAAGCTAGTTTCTTCTCATCCAATACTGAATGTCTGAAAACATATTCTAACAGTTCAGCTGTTAGTGGAGAAATCATAAAGAGATGGCAGCGAGGTACAGCTGGGGGAGGAGTTAACAAAGCGTGGGTCATTTGGTACTGAGATGAGGAAGCATTTTTCCATTCAGAGTAGTGAGCCTGTGGAATTTGCTACTACAGAAAATGGTTGAGGCCAAAACATTTAATGTTTTCAAAAAGAAAATAAATATTGTTCTTACAGCGAAAGTGATCAAAGTGCATAGACAGAAAGGGGCAACGTGTACAGGCTGAAAGGGCTGAATGCCCTATTCCTGCTCCTATTGGTTATATTTCTATCCAGAATGGAAAAGTTCATGCTCTCAAGAATCTTTTGCATTGTGCCAATAATTTATAGCTCCTGTACTGTAGTCAGTGTAACTAACGACACTGTTCACTATACCAACATTTTTTTTTTAATTCTTGCATGGGATGTGGGCACTGCTGACTGATCAGCATTTTACTGCCCGTCTCTTGTTACCCTTAAGAAGGTGGTGGTGAGCTACCTTCTTGAGCTGCCGCAATCCATGCATTGTAGGCACACCGACTGTTAGGGAGGGAATTACAGAGTTTTGATCCAGTTTACTTTGACCACTAAGCATAACTGAGTGGAAATTTTTCTGAAGAATAATCATCCCCAAAGTGAGGTGAGAGAGAGAGACAGCTTGACATCGAGGCCACATTCAACCGAATGCGGCAACAAGGAGTTCTAGCAAGACTGTAATCAATGGGCATCACAGGGCAAACTCTCCACTGGTTAGAGTCATATCTGGCACATAGGAAGATGGTTGCAGTTGTTGGAAGATCCAATAGCTCCAGGACATGTCTGCAGGATTTCCCCAGGATAGGCCCAACCATCTTCAGCTGCTCCATCAATGACCTTCCCTCCATCATAAGGTCAGAAGATGGATGTTCGCTGATGATTGTGCAATGTTCAGCACTATTCGCAACTCCTCTGATTTTGAAGCAGTCCATGCTCAAATGCAACAGAATCTGGGCTATAACCATGGTACATAGATAAACTGCAGAGCTGGGCTGAGAGGTGGCAAATGGAGTTTAATGCGGAGAAGTGTGAGGTGATTCACTTTGGAAGGAGTAACAGGAATACAGAGTACTGGGCTAATGATAAGATTCTTGGTAGTGTGGATGAGCAGAGAGATCTCGGTGACCATGTGCATAGATCACTGAAAGTTGCCACCCAGGTTGATAGCGTTGTTAAGAAGGCGTACAGTATGTTAGGTTTCATTGGTAGAGGGATTGAGTTTTGGAGTCATGAGGTCCTGTTGCAGCTGTACAAAGCTCTGGTGGGCCGCACTTGAGTATTGCGTACATCACCGCATTATAGGAAGGATGTGGAAGCATTGGAAAGGGTGCAGAGGAGATTTACCAGGATGTTGCCTGGTATGGAGGGAAGGTCTTATGAGGAAAGGCTGAGGGACTTGAGGCTGTTTTCGTTAGAGAGAAAAAGGTTAAGAGGTGACTTAATAGAGACATACAAGATCATCAGAGGATTAGATAGGGTGGACAGTGGGAGCCTTTTTCCTCGGATGGTGGTGGCTAGCACAAGGGGACATAGCTTTAAATTGAGGGGTGATAGATATAGGACAGATGTCAGAGGTAGGTTCTTTACTGAGAGAGTAGTAAGGGCGTGGAATGCCCTGCCTGCAAAAATAGTAGACTCGCCCACTTTAAGGGCATTTAAATGGTCATTGGATAAACATATGGATGATAATGGAATAGTTTAGGTTAGATGGGCTTCAGATTGGTTTCACAGGTCGGCGCAACATCGAGGGCCGAAGGGCCTGTACTGCGCTGTAATGTTCTATGTTCTATGTTCTATAACCAGGCTTGGGCCAACAAGTGGCAAGTAACATTCATGCCACACAAATGACAGGCAATGACCACCTCCAATAAGACACAGTCTAATCACCACCTCTTGGCATTCAAAGGTTACCATTACTGAATCCCCCACTATCAACATTCTTGGGGTTATCATTGACCAGACATTTAACTAGACTTGTCTCATAAACACAGCAGCTACAACAGCAGGTCAGAGACTAGGAATACTACAGTGACTAACTCACTTCCTGACTGCCCAAAGCCTATCCACCATCTACAAGGCACTCACCACCCTGACTTGGAAATGTATCGTCGTTCTTTCACTGTTGCTGGGTCAAAATCCTGGAATTACGTCCCTAAGGACATTGCGGGTCAACGAAGAGCATTTGGACGGCAGCAGTTCAAGGTGGCAGCTCACCACTACCTTCTCAACAGCTACTAGGCACGGGCAATAAAATGCTGGCCAGCCAATGGCATCCACATCCTGCGACTGAATAAAGAAAAAAAACCCTTTCCAATTCACACATAATTTACATGCAACACAACATTGGCATCTGCATGACAATGTGGAAAATCACCCAGATGTACACTGCACACAAAAAGCAGGACAAATGTAATCTAGCCCATTACCTCTTGATCATCACTAAAGTGATGGAAGGTGTCAACAATGGTGCTATCAAACAGTAACTGTTTAGCAACAACCTGCTCACTGCCATCCAGTTTGGTTCCACCAGGGCTACTTGGCTCCTGACCTCATTAGAGCTTTAGTTCAAACATGGACAAGAGAACTCAATTCCAGAGGTGAAGTGAGAGTAATAGACCTTGATATAAAGCTGCATTTGACCAAGTGTGGCATCAAGCGAAACTAAGGTCAATGGGTATCAGAGAAAACTGATAGTTGGAGACAAACCTCGCAAATAGGAAAATGGTCCCAGCTGTTGAAGGTCAGTCATCTCGGCTCCAGAACTCTGCAAGAGTTCATCAGGAAGAGTCTGAGGCTCAATCAACTTCAATGACCTTCCCTCCATCATAAAGTTAGAAGTGGGAATGTTTGTTGATGATTGTACAATGCTCAGCGCTATTCACGACTCTTCAGATACTGGAGCAGTACATATCCAAATGCAACAAATAGAACGTTGGTCTTTATTTCGTCCATTGAAGTGGAAATAGCTTCCTGCATTTGTATAGGGCCTTGACATCTGGACTACTATGCAAAGTTTTGGTCCCCAACGATATACTTGCCTCAAAGGAAAGGCAGAAGACTATAACGTATTGGAGAAAAATTAGGCCCTTCAGCCCATTCAGTTTGTTCCACCAATCAATCATGGCTGACATGTTTCTCAACTCTATTCTCCTGCCTTCTCCCCATAGGCTCTTGATTGGTAAGAGGATCAAGGGTTATCTGTCTTAAACACACTCAATAACTTGGCCTCCACAGCAATCAGTTCCACAAATTAATCACCAATGGCTGAAGAAATTCCTCCTCATTTCAGTTCTAAACGGTTGTCCCTGCACTGAGGCTGTGCCCTCGGGTGGTCACCTTTGCTAGTGGAAACATCTTCTCATGTCCACTCTATCCAGGCCTCTCAGTATTCTGGAAGCTTCAATTAGATACCCCTCATCTTTCTAAACTCCAGATGCAGAGTCCTCAACCATTCCACATATGACAAGCCCTTCATCCCTGGTATCATTCTTCTAAACCTCCTCTGGACCCCCTCTGACGCCAGCACTTCCTCCTTTAGATATGGGGCCCAAAACTGCTCAACATTCTAATGCAGTCTGACCAGAGCTTTATACAGCCTCAGCACTACATTCCTGTCTTGAATTCCAGCCCCCTTGAAATGAATGCTAACATTGCATTTGCCTTCCTAACTGCCAAGTGAACCTGCATGTTAATCTTAAGAGAATCCTGAACTAGGACTCCCAAGTCCCTTTGTGCAGATTCCCTAAGCCATTACCCAATTAGAATGTAGTGTATGCTGGGAAGAATGGAAGGAAAGTGCATAACCTCTTTTCCCATTGCATTCTGTACACTGCCACCTCTTTGCTCATTCTCCCAGCCTGTCAAAGTCCTTCTGCAGCCTCCTCACTTCCTCAACGCTGCCTGTCCCTTCACCTATCTTTGTGTCATCTGTAAACTTAGCCACAATGGTCTAAGTTCCTCCCCCAACATTGTTAATTTTTAACATCTAAAGTTGGGTCCCAACACGGACCTCTGCAGAACTCCACTGGTCACCAGCTGGCGTCACAAAAAAGACCCTTCTTATCTCTACTCTGTGTTCTACCAGCTGGCCAATCCTCTCTCCATGCCAGATAACTTGCCCCTAACACCATGGGCTCTTGTTTTACTTAGCAACCCCCTACACGGCACCATGTCAAAGGCCTTCTGGAAACCCAAATACATCACATCCTTCTGCCTCTCCTTTGTCTAACTTGCTTGTTACTCCCTCAAAGAATTCTAACAGATTTATGAGACATGACCTCCTCTTGACGAAGCTTTGCTGACTCAGCCCGAATTTACCGAGCACTTCCAAGTACTCTGCAATCTCATCCTTAATAACGGACTCTAGAATCTACCTAATGACCAAGGTCAGGCGAACCAGACTATAGTTTCCTATCTTCTGCCTCCCTCCCTTCTTAAACAGGGGTGCTATATTCATCATTTCCCGGTTTTCTGGGGCCCTCCCTGACTCCAGGGATTCTTCAAAGATCTTAAAAGTACAAAAGTCCAGTAGATTGATTGCGAGTTAGAGGGAGATTGTTAAATAAACAGCAATTTAGTATCTCGGCTTCCAATTCCCCAGAGCTTCAAAGAGGTGATTTCAAGGGGCTTGATGATATGTTTCCCTCAACTGAAGTCAAGAACTAGAGATTAGTCTCAAAATAAAAGGGAGGTCCTTTAGGATTGCATGAGTAGAAATGTATTTCCTCAATTTGTTCTGGTAAGCAATTCCAGATTCTGAGCTGTATACACTCAAATATATTGTGGTGAGACAGCACGCATGAAAATAATGGTACAAGAGTGAATTAGGTCATATCTTATTTCAAGTGTTTTACAACTGATGGATTACTTTTACCAAATGTTTCAAAATCTCCCCTCCCCCTACCGCATCCCAAAACCAGTCCAGCTCGTCCCTGCCTCCCTAACCTGTTCTTCCTCCCACCTATCCCCTCCTCCCACCTCAAGCCGCACCTCCATCTCCTACCGACCAACCTCATCCCGCCCCCTTGACCTGTCCGTCCTCCCTGGACTGACCTATCCCCTTCCTAACTCCCTACCTACACTCACCTTTACTGGCTCCATCCCCGCCTCTTCGACCTGTTTGTTTCCTCTCCACCTATCCTCTCCTCTATCCCTCTCCCACTCTCTCCCTATTTATCTCAAAACCCCCTTCCCCTCCCCCTTTTCTGATGAAGGGTCTAGGCCCGAAACGTCAGCCTCTCTGCTCCTATGATGCTGCTTGGCCTGCTGTGTTCATCCAGCCCTGCACCTTGTTGTCTCGGATTCTCCAGCATCTGCAGTTCCTACTATCTCTGATACAAGATTACACTGTAGGGCAAGGAGTCATTCTTGACTTTGGGAAATCAGAGTTTGACAAACGCTTTCACCTATTAACGTAGCTCTATCCAGCAATTTTTGAACAGTTGGTAAAACGTATCAACTAGAGTGGAAATTTAAGGCTATGCCATCTACCAGTGAAACTTCTCCTAGACTCTTCAATTTAAACTAGATTGCCCTGATCTGGGGGACAGACTACCTTTGCAAAGCAAGTTCCAAAGCAAACATTAAAATGAGTTAAAATTAGCAACATCCATTCCTGTTCCTCATCAAATTTTTAAAAAGTATTCAGATGTTGGAAATCTGAAACAAAAACAGAAATAGCTGGAGAAACACAGCAGGTATGGCAGCATCTGTGGAGAGAAAGCAGAGTCAATGTTTTCGGTCCAGTCACTTTTCTTCGGTGCTGTTTTTGTTCACGTTCCCCATTATCCTTGTTCAAGCTGCCAAGTCAAACTAAAATTTAGCAATCACTATGACTCATTCTTGATGAGCATGGGATTTATCCTTGGCATCCTGGCCAACATTTTGAAAAATTGGGAATACTATGTGAAAATCAAGTCCTACAATTACAAATGTGAAATATGACTAACATTATCTCGAGCATGTTATGTGCCTGACTATGACCAACATCCAAGAAAAAAAACTCACACCAATAAACAAGAAAACAATAAGTTATAACAAACCTATCCTTTATATGTGTGTAAAGCAGGTTAATTACTAATGTGCTAATATAAAGTATATGTCATTTAAATTCAAAAACACATTTGATTCGAAATATGTCAGAAGAGAAGCAGTATACAAAGAGAGAGGAATGAGAGCACAATGTGGATCAAAGCATTAGAACATAGGACATAGAACATTACAGCGCAGTACAGGCCCTTCGGCCCTCGATGTTGCGTCGACCTGTGAAACCAATCTGAAGCCCATCTAACCTAAACTATTCCATTATC